ATAGGAAGAGATAATTTGGATTACATTTAAATACTAGTTTTGTAGGAATAACTCTGTGTTGCTTTGTTCAAAAATTATACAAGTACCTGTTTATTTAGCATATGCCTTTTTTAAAAATGTCAGAATTGTACAGGGATACAAATAATAGTTTGTTCTTTGAATAGCAGATTGATGTCATATCATTAGCAACCTATGTAATTTTCTTCACTTTCCAAAGCAGCTGTATGTCATCACAGAATTCTTTTTTGGGAGTCTCACTTTCAAACATTTCTTGAATAGACAACAGTAGTCATATTTTTCTTTAGTGGTAAGCCCATTAAATTTATTGGAGAGGGTTTTTTTTTAAACATATTTCTAAATATTTGGTTAAGTATTCATAAATTTTATTGAATGCTAAAAAAAATCCATGTTTTTATCAATGTTGCAATCCTATATGTACATTTACTAAGAATTAGGCCTGTTTCAACTTATAGTTTATTTATGAGCAAGTATGCATTAGGTTAGGCTATAAAATTGATAGCTCTTTATTATTTTTTCCTGCTTTAGAGTGCTCTTTGTGTTTTTCTTCCATTGTAAGTTTCATATGGTCATATATGCATTTAGAAAGCAAGGAAAAGGCATGGGCTTGGATGACAAGATTCTGCTGTGGAGTCACTATTCAGGTGCTCAGCCAGCCACCATGGACATAGTGTATAGTTCCTGGGGACTTCGATCTGCCCCTGGGTGACATTGAGCCTGGGGCAGCTTGGGCATTCATGGCAACCACTGACCTGATCAAATCATTGAGGGCCCAACACATGATGGGGATCCCATGTCAGATCATTTAATTATTAATCAAATCCTGCCTCAATTATAAGTAGACTCTTGGTGGCTCATTAAAAAAGCCAATAACATAATCACAAGTAATAAAAAATACAATACATACAAACTCAAAAACAATACCTGCCAAATATATTCCTGAAAAGCTCCATCTTGAGCTATTTCCAGATGGCAGATAATGTTCCAGATGGTGGATAACCCACAGTTATTTTCAATAAAAATGTGTAATATAATATTAATGAGGCTTATGAAATGAAAAATATGAAGAATCTTATGGGGTGATATATTGTATTTTAAATTAATATTTACCTTTTCTGCAAACCACCCAGAGTTGCTTTTTAACAAGATGGGTGGTGACAAATTTGATACAATAAAATAAAATAATAAAATAAATAAATAAAACAAATAGTCCCCGGTTTAAGAACTCCTTGGAGACAGACAACCCATAGTTAAGAACGGAGACTATTGTAGCAAAATTCCCATCAAATACACAATGATTCGAGTTCATTACACAATACTACTTATATAGCATTATACAATCATACTGTTCCAACTTACGTACAAATTCGACTTAAGGATAGACATTGGGAATGGAACTCGTTCTTAAACTGAGAACTACCTGTATCTTGCTCCCTCTTTTTCTCCTTTCCCTCCTCATGCCCTGTTCTTGACTCTTCCTGATCCTACAGATCCTTCTTTTCCCTTATTTCCCTTCAGCTACATGTTTGTTCATGTTTGAATTCAAGCATAGCTATATCAAATTGGTTGACCTCCCTCTCCAATCTTTCTCTGCCTTCTTTTATCTAATTTAGTTACTGCCACACACTGCTGCTTCCAATGAAGTTCCCTTTTCCCCAGTCTCCCTACCCTGAAAATCTCTGCCAGGAGCATTTATGTTCTATGGCCTGCATCTGGACCAAACACTTATACTCTGAACCTTGATCCTCTTTTCCCCCTCTTTGCTGTGAGAATTCAAAGCCAAATCAGAGCACAGGTAAATGTAGTCCAGGAGCATTGCAAAGGTCCAGATGTTAAGGAAAGCTGAGGTTCAGGTAGCACATAGGATTCAGAAACACAAAATCATGGAGCCGTAGGTGGAACAGTTGTTTTCAATGGAGAAGCTGGACATACGTGGTTGCATTAATATATATTAGTGCAGGTGAAGTCCAGTTATTGCCATTGCTTTTTGAGGAGCTGAATATAGCTCCTCTGCTTTTCTCTCCAGGGTTTGTGGCATGGTCTTGGGCTAGGCGGCTGTTTGAAATCAGGGCCTCTGATGGCAGAATCAGTCTCATGAACTTGGTTGTTCCTGATTCTTGATTAATACTCATCTGAAGTAGGCTCCTCAACATCTAAGTCCTCCAACTTGGAGGAAACCATGGTACTACAAAATATTAATCCAAAACAGTTCAAGCATGCATATACACTAGCAGAGGATCCCACATAAAGAAAGAATTGCTTTACAACTGATAAGGAAACAAAATACTGTAACCTCAAAGGGAGACATGGACTCTGGATGGTGTGAAAACATTACAGACACATTCCCAGCAAGAAAACAGTAATTTTGATATATGGATTGAGCCAAGGTCCTGACTGTTATTCTAATAGGCTGATCCTACGTTTAAGCAGGAAGAGATGAAGCAAAGCAGTATATGTCCTTGGATACTTTCATGATTTGTTAAATTGCTTAAAAATGTCCCTGGAGCTAATAATAAGGATTATTTTAGGGATGTATTCAAGGAAGTTGAAATGGAAAGCCTAAACTTGGAATCAAGTTTCTAAAACTCATTGCCTTTTACTTCTAATAACATTTGTTATTTATGTTTGGCATCCTGGTAGTTTCCAAGATTTTTCAAGCTTATTTATCTTCTTCATACTCACATAATGGAAAAGCCATTTCAGCAAGGCTTAGCAAAATAGATTGTGCCAACAGATTTTCAGCTTGAAAGTCACTGGTCTTGAGATCTCATTGGACTTTGTAAGGAAAAAAATCAGTACATTGAGTTTTTTTTCCCAAATGAAACTTGTTTGCATGCTGCATTTAGTTTTCAAAGGTATCTTCCACTGAGTTCCAAAACAACAGATTGGTCTGATAGTCAAATCCCAGTCAGCAGAATTTCTTCTCATTATAGCAAGGTCTTCACTGGTTGTTTTACTGCACATATTCAAATAAAGAGCCAATTCAAATTTGGTGGTGGAAAAAAAAATCAGTTTTGTCTGTTCTGATTAAAACAATACCAAAGTGTGATTTTAATATAATAAAAGATAGACAGACAGACAGTGAGCAAAACTTGAATTAGGCATTATTTTTCAAAATAAAAAATTCCAAGAATTAAGTTTCTGTGTCATATCAAACACTGACAGAGAAAGTTTTATTCTAACCCTGTCTGGGGTTTTTTTTGTTCACACAGTGAAATTTTGTTTTAACACACAAATTGGAAGGGGAGGTGCCTGTATTATTGTCCATTAAATTGGAGAGTTTTGCACAATGCACTATTTGCATAATTATGTGTAATACCATTTGGAGGCATTCAACTGCATATTGAATAGTTTGGGGAGAAGACAGAATGAACTGAGACTGTCATTCATATCCTAGTGTTCTGGAAGCAAGAATAAGATAAGGAAGCAGGATGTTTATATCTTATATATGTGAAATGAAGAGGGTAGAGGTCATGCTTTGTATGTAACAGGGCCCAAAATAAATCTATGGAATATTCAGATAAAGTAGAAAAAATCCTGCATAACACCCTAGAGAAGGGATGTCAGAGTATCTATCTAATGCTGGGCTAGATGGCAATGATCCAACTTTGTATAAGGCCTTTTTCTGTTTTTCTAATAATCCCCAAAGATGGGCCACATAATAATTTTAATATATTTGGAGTTGCTAAAAGTAATATCAACTTTAAAAATCCTTTTTAATAAGAGATTGAGGTTATTGATGCCTCTCTTTAGAATCTTTTATCAAAGGTGAGGGAGTAATATTTAAACTAGAAATATTACACTTTGGGCCAGTCACTCTCTCTCAGCCCAACCCATTCGTAGGGTTGTTTTTGTGGGGAAAATAGGAGGCAGGAGTATTAGGTATGTTCATCACCTTGAGTTGACCAATAAATATATATGAATATGGTGGGATAAAAATATAATAATAATAATACCACTAAAAACCTGCCAAAAGTCAGAATTCAGTTTCCTGAGACACTTTGAAATTGTGAGTACAAAAGACAGCTTAAGAAGAGATGGAAGATAGCTGAATCTTTGTGACAAGAGTAGAATGGGTATCTTAGCTACTTGTTTTTGTCTATAATCATCAGAAGGAAGTTAATATTGGTTCATTTTCATGTATTGTACATTTCAAAATTTAGTTGGATGCACAATTTGTTTATGCAGAGTTTGTACAAGGATTAATGGAAAACTTCAGCTATATTTCATATCTGAACTTTTTGCCCTATGGTAACTTACAAAATGATTGTTTTCTGTTCCAAGACCTGTAGGGTATAAAAACACAGATTTCCTGTCAGCCGGCAGAGGAATTGCCTCTTTTAAATTCCAGGAGAATGTACATGTATTAAACATGAATGGTAGTCTTTAGTAACCAAGACTGTTCAACTTTCATGAATATAGCTAAATTGTACCATGGAGAAAATGATATTAGCTGTTGCTTGACCTTGTATTTAAAATACTTTGTTACTCATAGAAAATAAACTTAGAATTTTAAAAAAATAATATGCCATCTGCTTCATTTTATTTTAAAACTTTTGCCTCCCAGTAGCGATTGATTGAATGCAATGTATGTTGAGTCCACTGATGGGAAATAATGGGAATTTTAGATCAACTACAACCCTTTTAATCATGCTGGCCAATCATATATTACTCTTTTATACCATTCACTATCTACTTAGTTGCCTTTCAACACTGCTAAAATCTTCAAGCCTGATGGAATTTAACAGGCTTTATGACATAAAGCCAATGTGTGATACTGACCTAAAACAAATCTTGAAAGAAGCAGTATGTGAAATTAGTTTTAAAAAATGCTTACAGTATTTGATTTTAGTGAAGGTCTTTATTAATATTGATTAATACATCTTGCCGTTATGTAAATTGAAGTAAAGTTATAACAAAATTGTCAAGAAAAAATAATAAATTATTATGATATAGCTGATTTTCCCTTTTTTGGCTATTAGCTGTAGATGGATTTCTGAAGACAGATGAAAGGCAAAGACTAGCCAGAGAAAGAAGAGAAGAAAGAGAAAAATATTTTGGTAAGCTGTATTTTCTTATTCAATAAGCAAGAATAATCTACTTTGAGGAGGCAGCCTGGAGGCTTTTGATTACTAACTATACTTATGGAAAAATAGAGGAGCCACTTTACACTGTGTCCTGGGTTCATTAGGATGAATGTTCCTGCTGTCCTCATCTGGGATCAGAGACATTTACTTTAGGAAAAACAAAATGGGGACCAGCAGGCAGGAACATCATACCCCCAATGTCATTCTGTTCTATGTTTTGCTCTGCTCAAGCAGGTACTTAGTTTTTAGAAGGAACAAATATGATATAGGCTTGGGAAATCTGCTAGCCAATATCCCCAGTCTTCAGCCTAGCTACTGTACACTTTGACTTTCCAGCCTATCAGTGGTAGCAGCTTCAATATTATTAAAGCAACAAGGCCCCCCTTGAATATGATCACCAACATTTGGGAACCAAGCAAGCAACATCCATTCGGAGGATAAGGGATGTGTGAATCTAGTTTCACTCTGCCAACTATTTTGAGCTGAGAGTGAACTTCTCTCCAGTTACTAAGGTACGTATATGAAAGGTTTACTCATGCTCTGATTTTATATCCAGACTTCTTGGCTTGTATCTAATTTCCTAGGAAAAATAGATTGGTTTTTTTCTGTATAAACAATTAATCAACTTCACTCACACACTCACACATACATGAGGGAATGTGTACTTGCTCTTCAGGAAGAAATGCCAGTGGGCTAAGTGCAATTTTATTTGGTATGTTATTTCCTTATTTGACAGTTAATATTTAACTGTAAAAGACCTGTAACAAAATATTGCAATGCATAGTGTTCCTGTTCAAGAAAATTAACCCATTTTTTCTGTCCAACAGATATTTGGCACTCTGTAACCACTAAGTACATGGTCTTCTTTGGCCTGTTCTGGTGATTTTCTCTACCAGAAATTGTTTTCCCTTAGAGCACTTTTTTTCTATACAATATATACTTATGCAAACTTGGGGTCCACCAAGCCTTCTAATACCTACGTCCTGGGTATGATTGGTATTGTTATGACTGCATAAGGACTGGTAATCTACAAATAAATAACAATTGGAATATGTGGGCTCAATTTTTATTTGAGATTTTTTTTAAGCTGCCAGGGAGCAGCAAATCTTAGAAAAAGAAAGAAGAGCAAAGCTTCAGTATGAAAAACAAATAGAAGAAAGATGGCGGAAGTTGGAGGAGCAGAGACTGAGGGAGGAGCAAAAGAGGGCAGCCGTTGAAGAAAAGAGAAGACGGAAGCTTAGAGAAGAAGAGGTAGGCAGTATATTTATTTGTATGCAACATTATGATTACTGTATTTGCTGAGATATTGTTTTGGGGGAAAATACTTGACTGCAAGATAATTTCTTAAATACGTTTTTAAATCAATGATCCCTAAGTACTTAGAATATTTGTTTGTTTGATTAAATATAGCTGCCTGCTCAACATACAAGTCAGGACAACTTCATCAGTAAACAATATAAAATGACACAATGAACAAATAATAAAAAGAAAACATAAAAACATAGGGACATAAAGTACCAAAGAAAATTCAATCAGTAGGATCATATTTCCTAGACAGTACTGTAGTAACCCTTATCTAGATAGTAAGGTTGAGCCTGTTTCTTGGTTGAGATTATATTGAATGTTTTTGGTTACTATTTTATTGATTTAATGTTGCTTTTAATTTTGGTTGTTTTGTATTCTGTTTTTATTCTGTTTTAAATGTTAGCCATCCAGAATCATGCATGTGAGTTGGGCGGCCATATAAATTTATTAAATAAATATCTGCAGCTTATGTGCCATCTGCGTCTATTTGAGAATAGCCTTCTTTCTTCATATACGCTTTGTCTAATGAAAGAATGGCCAGTCATTTCTGTGACAGTGTAACAGGTGATACTAATAACTGGGTTTTAGTTTTCAATATGTCTGAAAGCTCCCCCACCCCTTAATTCATTGTATGAATTGCTGTGATACCATAGAATGTTGAACATTCTTGAAAATATGAAAGTTGTTTGATAGAAATATGTATGAAAGATGAGTATGGAATAGATACTACATAAGAAAAGATAATAGATGTTCTGAAAAATGATGGGGGGGAAACCCTCTTATACAGGACTGAATGTACAGTGGTACCTCGGTTCACGAATTTTGCTTCCGTTCGCAAACTCTTCATCGGGTGACGAACAGGATCTGCGGCCATTTTCCCTGCCCTGACACGTGGTCGTGGCTTCCTGTAGGCGAGATCGCAGTAGCAAACAGACGTCCTGTGAAGCTTTTTGGTGTGCTTGTTAGCATGGCTCCAAAGAAAGTGCAGAGCAAGCATGGTAAGAATAAGGTTTTGAAGAAAATAACCATTGAATTGAAGAAGGAAATTGTAGAAAAGCACGAGCATGGTATTCGTGTGACTGATCTGGGCTCGGAGTACAAAATGGCAAGTCGACAATCTCGACTATTTTGAAGAATAAAGATGCCATCAAAGGAGCTGATGTGGCAAAAGGAGTAACGATGTTAACCAGGCAGAGGACACAAGTGCTGGAAGAGGCGAAAAAACTTTTGTTAGTGTGGCTGAATGAGAAACAGCTGGC